CGAAAATAACCTGCTATTATTAAAATAATAATAAAATAGTTCCTTATTTCCTTATTTGTAAATGAGATGATTTTTTGCTGCGCGATTTTATGTTTATCATTTCTGTTTAATTTTTTTGTTCGGCTATTTATGTAAAGATCATGATTACCAGAGAAAAAAGAGCTTTCCATGATTTCCCTAACTCGAGTTTTTCTCAAGCCAAAACAGATCGTTAGGCGCCATATTCGGTCATTGCCATGGCCGGGATCGCACAGAAAGAGGAAGCAGAAAGCAACAAAATGAGAGAAAAAATTGGAAAAACAGAAGCAAAACAGAAACCGTAAAGCAAACATCGCCGCATGCTAATGAGCCGCCAAACAAGCGAATGAGAAATGACGGCCCAAAGCGGCGACAACGACGACGACTACCGCATTTGGTGGAGCCTTGGCCAGGCATAGGCATAGAGCATTGGGTCTTTGTGTTTTTTTTTTTGCGGGATGTTGGGGATGTCTGATGGATAGGTTAGATCTGGCTGGATGGCTGGATGGTTGGTAGAGTGGGCGGGCGGTTAGGCACAACTTACCATTAGATTGCTCAATTTCAAACTTGGCGCTGTATCGGGTAACAAATTGTGGCCGAGTTTGTATAAATGACCGTCGTCTCTATCGCCGCCGCCGTCGTCATCGTCATCAACGTCGTCAACGTCGTCGTCTGCTTGGCCATTAATCACAACAAAATCAACATGATCATCAACCAGCTCCTGGCCATGGCCAGTGCTTGATGTCGATGGAGTCGTGCATTCGTGGACGACGCCAGCGTCGCTGCCATTATGTATGCTATACTCATCATGATCTTCATCATCATCATCGTTGTCATCTTCGCTCAGCTCACAAATGTCAACGCCTTGGGCAGACCGAGGCGCCCATGACGCCATTGGCGCTCTGCTGCCGCCGTTGGTGGTGCTGCTGGTGGTGGTGGTGTGCTGCTGCTGCTGTGTGGTTGTGGTGGATGAGGAGGTGGACCAACGGGATGTGGATGATGTCTTTTGTACTGTCTGTGTGCGTATCACCTGCATGGCGCCATTGGCGGTGCGCAGCACCTCCATTTGCTTGCGCTGTGTGTGCTGTGTGCCATTCGGCTGTGAGATATTTTGGGAATCGGATATCTACAATATCGCACGAGAGAAGCGGGGGGAGAGAGAGAGAAAGAGACACAGATTGTTTGGATTTGAGTGACAGTAGGATTATGTGTATGTTGGATATAGTATTTGGATAACAAGGTCTTAATTAATTGTATTACTTGAGTTTGTTTTAGTTTGAGTAGTGAGAGTTGTTGGCATGTTTAGTAGGTCAGCCCATGTGGCCAATTGGCTCTCCGTAACATCGTATAGCTAAAACTATTTGATTATGCATAAGTATGCGCTTATTTAGCAATCATTGATCAATAATTTGAATTTTTATGACTCCAAAGAAGGCGAAAGGTCGTTTATTTACAGCTTTTTTTTTTTTTTAATTAATTGAAATAAATACTTTGAAAAAGGCGAAGCTAGGAAACTAAAAAACTAGAAAATTTATTTCCACAGCTTTAAAAATATATATTATTTTATTTTAAAAATTTATTGTATTTTACAAAAATATATAAAAATATTTTTTGTATTGCTTTTTGAAAAAATTTATTTTTCTAATAATTCATAATTTTTCATAATTTATTTTATATTGACTTTTGCTAGCCCTTTATCGTGTAGCACACAATTAATCTTAACAGATCTGTGAAATTGCATATTATGCAATTTAAAGATGATTTTAGGTGTATGTTAGACCGTAAAATAACAACAATTAATTGTACATGGACAAGCCAAGCACATACATATAACAATGTCTCTTAACAGCCGGTGTGCAAATGAGGCTGTCAAAAATCGTATGCAAGTTTATTAGGTGTGTCTAATGGGGCGTATGCGTATTGATGTATGGGGCATGGGCACGTGGGAGAAGTGTTGTCAGCTGTTGAGCTCCGAAATGAGCTGAATTGTGGATAAGGGAAAGTTTTAACAGACTGAAATGTGTGAAACAAAAAATACTGGAAAGGCGGGCTAGATTTCTTTGGGTATTTCCACTAGTATTTTTTCTGTTTGTAAACAATTTCTACAAGTGATTCCTACAATTATTTCTTCTAAGTATTTCCTCTAAGCATTTCTCTAAGTATTTCCTCTAAGTATTTCCTCAAAGTATTTCCTCTAAATATTTCCTCTAAATATTCCTTGTAAGTATTTCCTCTAAGTTTTCCTTCAAGACTTTTCTGCTGAACGATCACACACTTCACTTCACTCTACTGCACGAGTGACCTCCACCAGGCGACTGAAGAAATGGTGCAGCTGCTGCCCTTTATATAGGTCGACTTATAGTCAATACGAAGTCAATACGAAGTCACTCTCTAATGTGCCAGGGAGGGCTCGTTGCAATCGAGCTTCAAGTGACCAATGGGAACACTCTCTGTTGCTGTAAGCATTTTAGCTTCGGTTTACTTGAATTTAAGGCATACTGCTCTATATATATAGACAACTTAAATGATATTCTGTGGCATATATAAACAATATCATGTAGTTCTTCTTCTTCTCTTGTTTTGTTGGGTAGACACAGAGAGGTATAGAATGAGGCAGACAGAGTGCGAGAGAGAAAGAGAGAGAGTGAGAGAGGGAGAGAGAGAGAGAGAGAGTCAGAGTGAGAGAGTGGGAGAGAGAGTGAGCGAGAGAGAGAGAGAGAAAGGAGAGAGGGAGAAAAGAGAGAGCGAGAGAAAAAAAGAGAGAGCGAGAAAAAAAGAGAGAGATGCGAATAGATATTTGTTGGCACACTAACAAGCATATTTAATTCGGATTGCCTCAGTAGCTGCTCAAGAATGTGTATGTTTGATAAGGCCAAAGTTGTTATGCTAAATAGCTTATATATATAAATATTTATAATTTTAAGATGGCAAAGAAAGCAGTTTCTTTGCTTCTATAATTCTCTTAAGGGCGAGGATTTCAGCATAGTCTGCCTCATACAATATCACATTTATTTTCAAAGGATTTATTATCAACTGGCAACACTGCGGGGCGTGGGCAGAGACGTATTTAGGAGGGGGCGCGGACGCGTGCTTGTCGCTTTGTTAGCCAATACACTTGAACGTCAAGTGTTTGCTTTGGCTCTTATCGCCACAGCTGTGCGCGCTGTGTTGAACACGTGACCAAAAGCGAGCCACTGCACCCTTTTTGCTGTGTGCAACAATTAACAGTTGGTTTGTAGATCGTGCTAGCTCACATACACACACGCACACTTTGTGACTGGCCCCTAAGATCGATTGTGGCAATCGATTATGTCGATGATTTATGGCATTCGAATTTTTTGTATTAGGGTTCAGTTGGGCATATTCGTGTCAATGACCAAAATCAAATGCATTTTCAATGCTCCACTTCCATGCAAATGCACAACAACAACAACAACAACAACAATTGTCTGAGTCAAACACCAAACATAAAATTTGATTACAACAACAACAACAATAACAACAAAAGCGGAGAACAAATGTTCTTTGTTACATGAAACCACAGAATAAACCACCATCGATGCTGTCAGTGGCTATTTGTGGGTTGACTCATACACTTTGTACTCACTGACTAACACAAACTGTGGTTATTGTGGTTACATTGTAACCACCAATGTAATAATATGTGAATTTAATATTTTGCATTGCATACCAAAGATTTATGATAGTCAAATGTCTTGATTTCAGTATCATAAATGTTATTATGCAAATCAAATATTTCGTTTTAGACAATATAAAAAATTAAACTAGTAATGTCTAAAGACCTAACAAAAGTTTCTAAGGTAAAAGAATAATTTATTAAATTGCTAAAATTTGTGTTATATTTTAAAAAGTTATGTAACTATTAAATAATGAAAAATCTGGAGGTATAAAAATACTCTTTAAATAAGAGAATGATTTCTTCTTTGAGAATTTAATAACAATTTTTTAATCCGGAGAAATTAGATTATTTTTTAGTCTGGCAATAATATAACAAACTCATATGCTCTACAAAATATTTTTCAGTATTTTTATATATTTTTTTAGTATACAAAATTTGTGCATATAATTCATAGCGGCAAGTGATTTATTTTATAAATTCCGGAACAATATATGAAGCATTTTAAACCTATAAATAATAATAGATTTAATTTTCAATTGACTTTTATACTATTTTTATTTAACAAAATATTAATGTTTTTTATGATTAAATTAATAATAAGTATTTTGTTTGAGAATTTATGTTTTTAGTTATAAGATTCTTATTTATATGAGAGTGCCAAAGAATTTGAAGCCATAGCAAGACTTTTTCCATCAATTTAAAAATATTATAGATTATAAGTTAACATGCAAAGGCATTCTATAAAAAAATAACAAAGAATATACTTCTAATTACTCTCTTAACTTTGGCTGTCTCTGCCAGTTCTCTACCATAATTTGCTAGCTCTAACTTTAAGGATTTACTTCAATCACTTTTGATTGACTCTCTGAGCCATTTCGATGCGCTGCTGATTCAGTTCATGCAGACCGCCGGCGACTAATGCAAATGCATAATCATTTTGACGGCTCCCTACGGACACACTCATCCTTGAGCAGCAGCCAAGGGTATATATAGGAAATATTCGAGTACCCAGAACAAAGTTATCTGGTACGAAACACAATTGCGGTGCAGAAAATAAATTATAAGCAAAGTTTTGAACCCTTGAGGCGATGCACGTTCAGTCCGCAGAGTTTCTCACGCCACAAATGCAGACAAAAGAGAAGACTTGTCTTAAATCTCCTTTTGGCCATGTAATACATGCTGTGAGTGTTCAAGTGTGTGTGTGTGTGTGTGTGTGTGTCTATCGATGACCTCTTTTTGGCAGCCAGGCAGGCTGAGTGGAATGTATGTGTAGGCTGTGGCTTTATTGCTTGCCCGCTGGAGAGCTTCATGTGGCCCGAGTTGGCCTGGCCTGGTTTCGCTTGGCAGCCGGTCTAATTAAGCTATGCCAATCTGCATGCCTGCTGAAATCTCACACTCCCCCAGGGGGAGTCTGCTCTAATCAAGGCGGCAGCAGCAGCAGCAGCTGGCGCAGAAACAAAAAGAAAAAAAAACAGCAACGTTTTTATATATTTCGCTATGGCCAAACAATCAGGGAATCAGTGTCATGATCTCGAACTTGAGCCCCCATGCGGCTGACTAGCTGTTTGGCTGCTTGGCTGATAAAGCCAAGATCCCGCGCCTCGCATAGCCAAATTGAAAAATGCTCAATGGCTTTATGGCCTGCTGTCTGCTGTCTGCCGTTGCTTTTGCTTTTGGCTCAAAGTCAAGTTGAAGGTTCAATGAAATGCGGCAGCTGCAAAATGCAGCGGGCCGCGGGCCAAAAGACGTTGCCATGCTCTGAGACGCGCATATATTACAAGTGGATACCCAGAGCCCAAAAGTCGTGATGATGTAGACGTTGTACACGCTCTTGCTGTTCGCTGCTGCCCGCCTCTGCTTCATTTGGTCTGGCCTATGCCAAAAAAAAAAACCTTTATATATACATATATATATATTTTCGCCCGTTCCATGCTTTAAACGAATTTAATGATGCTGCCCGCAACATCGTCGTCGTCGTCGTCGTCGTCGTCGTGGCTGTCTCTCGCCATAAGATTGACTGTCTATCTCGGCTCATGGCCCGCTCTGTCTATGCCTTCTGTCTGTCTCTCAGTCCGTCCGTCCGTCCGTCCGTCTGGCTGTGTCAGTCTTTGGCCTGCCATATGCTCCATGTCTGCGCATGCATGTCGCCTTTTCTGGCGGCAGGGCTTGCACAGATCGCTGCATAGACATGCCAAAGCGTTGACTCTTTTTATTTTTAGCTGGCACTGACTTTGCCTGCACAGTGGTGAAGCGTGCTATGAAAACTCATGT